AGAATGAAAACCTTCTCTACCTGTGCCACCCAGGGCTGCATCATTTCTATATACTACATACCACGCTTCTTTGTCTACTCCACACCTTTCTTCCCTAACCTGACGATGACTGCTGACAAGCGTATAGCCACCATCCTCTTCTACAGTCTTTTCCCTCCACTGATCAACCCGTTCATATACTGTCTGAGAACCAAGGAGATCAAGAAAATATTTGCACGTTGGATCTGGAGACAAAAGGGCATTGAGCCTAAGAAGCAAGGCCAAATTGAGGCTATCACCAAATCACAATGAGAAGTAATGCAAGACCTTTATTGTAATAAATGCATGCACGGTCATTTATTCTATATGATTATATACAGAAAAGTGTTCTATTATAGAAAATAATAATAACTAAAGTGCTGTTTTAGTGTGGAAACCAGGGCATAAGTTTATATCCCTCTTTTTGTCCTGCTTTCCCTCTGTCTGTATGTGTATAAATAGTGCTTTAATTTAAAAGAAACGTATCCTGCATTTCTATCCGTGTCAATTTCTTAAGTCTTAAATGTAAAAAAATGCCATAACAAAAACAATATGAGTCTCTGTAAGTCGTATAGATGCAAACTGAACTTTCGAGATGTGTGACACGGTTTGGCAGTTTTTTGGACTCATCATCACAGATAACATTGATATAGTTTAAAGCAGCAATTCTCCATTCTCTTGTAAAACAAAACACACAGAGAGACATATGCAGACATATCAGCATGTCAAAACCATCACCAACAGAAGGAACAATTATAAGTATTAAAGCATTAAAGACAAACAAAGACAAACTAAAGCAAAGGGTAAAGATTGCTAGTTATTTATAAAAGGGAAAACACTTTTGGCAGTAAAACTAATCCATATTCATGACACAAAAGTATTACAGCTCTTTGTTTTTGACTGAATCTGATTTAAGAAACTATTATAATTAATATTATGGTGAATGACTTTAAGTCCCCAAATCAACATTATTATTACAGGAAGTGTGTTAATGACACTATAGACTTTTACCAGACTGCATTCCCATTATTCTTATTCAATTCATTCAAGCAATATTCCATATTTTCCAACAGGAATATGTGGAATTTGAGATGAAGAAACCTTTAAATATAGCCAATGTATGTTATTCTCTAAATTTAAAAAGAGAGAAAACATCAAACTGACCTTTTAACTTAGGTAAGTCGGTGATATATAAACATATTTGCAGTGTAACTGATAATATGTGAAGTCCTGAAGCTGTAATAAAGGAGAATATAAAAAAGACCACCCTAATGAAATGAGAAACTGAGTAATCTGCAGTTACAGTTGAAGCAAACATAGCGAGACTGCAAAACACAAGATAGATTAAATACTGAGCAGGAGATTTAAAGTACTTATTTATATATTACACAGGGACATTTTGAAACTAAAATAATTAGTGAATAAATAAAACTAAAGAATAAATGCAATGAACTATGCAGAAGGGAGACAATCAGCGTAAAAAACAAGCCTTAAAGAACAAATGTAGTAATATCAAGTAGCTTTAAAAGGAGATTAGAAGGTGTTTACTTTCACTCCAACAGAAATTTAAAAATCCCAAACTCATCCACCTAATATAACATGCCACATTTTACCTAAAGCACCTTCTACGATGTGCATTCATAGCACTGGTGGTTATAATGTTGCTACACAGGTATTTTGCCAGAAGATGGCAGCATCCTCAAACCTTACTGCGGTCTATGAGTCACACTGAGCAAAAACAAATCATGTCCTGCCATGCTTTTTGGCTAATGTTTGGTGTATGTTACCCCATAATTATATTTTTGCCTATATAATCCATCCACACATGAGTAATGAATGTGTGAATGTAGTTTTATGATAGGGGTTCTCCATACACACCCACCCTGCCAGTCCCTTTCATTTTACACCCTGCTGTTGTAGTCAGAAGCATCAGACGCATTAAATTATCAGTTTTATTCATGTTTACAGTCCAACTATATGTTTAAATGTCGCTGTTGTACATGTCACATATATTTATTTAATTTGTGTGTTTAAAGTGATCGGAGTTCTGTTCAGAAGCCAGGCAGAAGCAATACTAAGTGGTTTAATGTCACACAAACAGAATGAGCCACTCTGTACTGTAACCACAATCTTCCCTGTCTGCACACAGACTCTTTCTATGTGTGTGTGTGCGTGTGTGTGTATGTGTGTGTAAATAAGGGAAGAATAGTCGTATTCATGTTGAATATCTGGCCCACATTACAGTCACTGTGCGGACACAGCATGACTGCAAGGAGGAGGGATGAAAACAGGGAGGAGAGGAAAAAACTACACTAAGGGAACAGAAGCACAGTCATCATCTTTTAATGTAATAACTTCTTAGCTCATACTGTCCTACCATGTCACAAACTCGCTGATATTCAAAGAACCTTTTATTTTCTTTGATTTAAAACTGTCCTCACACAATTATGGAATGTCTTGTTTGTCCAGTGTGACATTACCGAGGTATGTGAGGCTCTCCGGATGGCAGGCTGAACTGTACTTCTTGTTCCACACTCTTCTTCCTGCTGCACTTTGGTCGACTGACTGTTGTGCAAACTGGACAAGTGACTTAACAGCATCACATGGTTATCACAGAGAAGTGACGCAATTTAATTTTACTTCATCAGCTTGAATGTTGAGCAAGTGAAAAGTAAGACATCTTTAGACAAGCTTTACTGAGTCTTTAATGTTATAAAGCGGATTCTTTTTTTATATGAATTCAATCTGTTGACTGTTAACTCACAACAAAATACATTCCTACAAACATTGCTGGAATATATAGTACGTTTGCTCAAGTGCTACTTAGGTACAGTTTTATGTTGCTGTTGCTTTAATTAAATGTTTTTCCTTTTGCTCTTTTACTTGGCTGCTAAAGTTACTTTACAGATTAATCATTTACACACAAAACATGTAATAAGCTTATACAGCGGTGGATAAAGTATTCAGATCCTTTACTCAAGTAAAAGCAGTAATACATTATTAAAATACTGTTTCAAGTAAGAGTACAGAAGTATAAATGGATTTAAAGCATCTAAAGTAAAAGTACTCGTTCTGCTGAAAAATCCCTGTTAGTGTTATATTATTATTACATTATAAGAAACATTTTACTGAGCTAGTTTTAACTACTTGTTACCCAACCTATGAGTCAGCTAAGTGTTTTACATGTGTGAAGCCTTAGTCCTAACCAGTTTCCCAACACTCATTTCAGCAGAAATGCATCACAATCCACTTCCATGTAGTTGTCAGATAGTTGAAGATTTATTGATTCACAGTTTATGTGCAGTAAGACATGACAAAAGGCAGTGCACTTCAATAACCTTTATTCAGATTACAGATGTATTCCATTTTGAAGTTTGGAGGGGGGAGAGGGAGCATTAGTGCTATTTACAATTGGTTTGAAAACGTTTATCTCTGTACAGATTTGAACCCTGATCAATATAAACAATATTTTTTTTAAGACCTAGTGCGGTTACAAAGCGATTCTTTAAAGCAAAAAAACCACGAAGAAAAAAAAGGATTACATTAAATTATAAACAAATGAAAAAAATAATAATAAAAGAGCACAGAAGAAAGAAAATAAAAATACAGTCTGTCGATGATTAGGGAGGTTTTGCTGCTGTTAAGCACAAGACATTGTCAGCGAGTGACTGTGAACTGGCTAGAAGCTAACCGTATACACAATCATAGACTAAACACCAATATACTGTATATCAACAAGATCTAAAGTCATCATGTTCTATATAAGATTCATATTAAATATATTCTACATGTAACCTTAGTTTGGAACATTACTTCCATTGGAAAAATATAAAATAAAACAATAAAACCTTTTATACATTTTTATTTTATCTGATGAAGGAGCACATGCTTCGGTTGTGCAAAATGGACTTATTAATGCAGAGAGAGAATTAAGGAGAGAGTAAGAAGCGAATTAAGACAAATAAGGAACATTTTTCATTTCGAGTTAATTTCCCTGCTTGGACAGCAATTGTCATCCTTCACAACACTGTTTAAAAAATGAGCACACTGAGCCTTTCCTTGGAGAGAGGGATGGTGCATCTGGGAGGGAAGGAAACTGACATGACGTCTTATTAATCACAACACTGGTTGGTCAGTAAAATGCATGGACTGTCAAAACACAGTCACAAATGTCATGGACAAACAAATAACCTAAACAAGACCACCAACACTGGTTGTTTGTCTATTTGTTTGTTTGTTAGGCTTTGTTTGGCTAAAATATGACGAATATGAATATATGACGTGGGATGTGTTCGGTCTGTACAGCGCTCTGCAGACAAAAAGGAATAATTTCTCTCTTGTGACCCTTAAGGGCACATGTAGAGGAGGGCAGTAAAAAGGACACAGGTGTGTGTGTATATTGTATCTCTGTGTGTATGTGTGTGTGTGTGTGTGTGTGAGTGTGTGTATGTGTGTGTGTGTCCTGGTTTGAGTTCTCTGAACAGGCACGTCTAAGCTTCATCTGCTGCACGGAGGGAGATCACACAAGCACATATGGTTAGATGTGTAGACAGGTTGTCACTGTGTGTGTAAGTGTGTTTGTGAGTGTGTGTGTGTGTGTGTGTGTGTGTGTCTGTGTGTGTATGTTGGCGAGTTGTT